TCTCAAGAGCCACATGCACACATGCAATTAAATGTGTTCCACAAGTTAATCAATGCAGAATTAGCACAAAATGGGAACTGGAGGAATTTAGGAATTGTCATGCCAGATCAGATTAAGGGATATTTTAGATAAATAGCTTGAGTTTATTAATTTCCAGTGGGACTCCAGTTATATATTTGGAGCAAAGGAAGTAATTGTACCATTTATTAAATAGTTTGTAGTATATTTCATCTTCTGCTACTTCTCAATATATACTTGCTTTCAGAATTAGTATATGTATGCATGCTTACTAAGAAAAAGGAAATAAGAAAGTAATCTTTCTTAATATACATAATATTGAAATCACTAATTCACATATTACCATTTTTCAATCTCTAACTTTAGATAAGTGATTAAAACTGTCCAAAATTCTAAACTAACATAACTGAAAGCCAACATAGGCAACAGTTTGGGAGTTAAAGACATCTGGATGATATCAAGTTGGAGAACAGCTGCTTATATAATTATTTTATTTCAAAATTATCCAAAACAGTTCTAAATAATAAACCAAATTCATACTTCTGTGTATTAGTATTGTCAAAGTATAAAAATTTATAACAGATAATCAGAGTTGGAAGGGACCTTGTACGTCATCTAGTCTAACCACCTGCCCAATTGGGAGACCCTACACCATTTCTGACAAATGGCATCCGATCCCTTCTTGAAAATCTCAAGTGATGACACTCCCACAACTTCTGAAAGCAACCTGTTCTATTGGTTGATTGTTCTCACTGTCAGAAAGTTTCTCCTTGTTTCCAGGTTAAATCTCTCCTTGTTCAGTTTCCATCCATTATTCCTTGTCTGGCCTACAGGCACTTTAGAAAATAGCTTGACCCCTTCCTCTCTGTGGTAGCCCCTCAAATATTGGAAGACTGCTATCATGTCTTCCCTGGTCTTTCTCTTCACTAGACTAGCCATGCCCAGTTCCTGCAAACATTTGTTGTATGTTTTAGCCTCCAGTCCCCTTATCATCCTGGTTGCTCTTCTCTGTACTTTTTCTGGAGTCTCAAAATCTTTTTATAATGTGGTGACCAAAACTGGATGCAGTACATAATGGTGTTATATTTAGAAGTGCAGAATCAAATTATCAAAATAATATAATTAAAGTTAAAAATTGGATTTACTTATTAAATTTAATTTTACAGGTCCCTTCAAAATTATAAAAATTATTAAAATGTGCCATTTTTGCAGGACATAATGGAGGCCTCATCAACAATATAGTTGCACAAATGATAGGAAAGGTTTTCGTAGGGGAAGCTCTTCTGAACATGGAACATTGGTGAGAATAAGCTCTGGAGCAGACAAAATTTATGTGAGGCATATTTTGAGTTTTCTCCATTCCATCCCCAGTTTGAAATTCAGCAAAAATGTTAAAAGAAACCACATGTAAAATTGGATAGTTACTCTACTTTTATATCTGAATACTTGCTGTGAAGACCTGTTATAGGTATCCTACCTATAGCTGTAACAAAAACAATGGGTGTCTTTTGTAAAATAAACAACATTACTGGGTATTTACCAGTGTCGCACCATGTATTTACAGCATGTTTATTCTTTTCAAATATGACAATCCAGTCCTTGTATAAATCGAACAATTTACCCCATGAAACAGCTTCTTTTCTTCAGCTGAATATGGATTTCAAATCCCTTTTTATCAAGGTGTTCCAGTAAGTAAATGTAGCATTATTAACAATTCTGTCACTCTAGATGAGGGGGAGAAAAACCTTTGAAGTTCTCTAAATATTAGTTCTCCAAATATTCTTCAAATAGCTATCTTGATCTTTTCCTTTTAGCTAGGTAAACAATCTTAAACCCTTCCTGTCCTCAGAAAGAGGTAGCTTTTCTTTGCCAGCTTTCCTGGCTCGATACGATGGAGAAGAATACCAAATTATTAAGTTCAGTTCTGCATACTCTGCATATTTTATTACATTGCCCCCTCTGAATGTCATTAGATAGCATTCATAAAGTTCTGCAAACCACTTTCAAGGAAGCTTTTGTTGTTGTTTTAAGCCTTTATTTTGTGCTTTGATTATGCACCTGCTTTCTAAAAAGTTTCCTCCTGAAAAATGGATGGCAAGTTTTAAAATGGAATGTCTCATTTTCTTCATTTGTCTTATTTATGCACAACAGAATTAGAAACATCTCTTCTATGTCTCAGTCACCATTCATACACATTCTACTAATTCTTTCTTAACCAGTTTGACCCTGCAGGATGCATTTCAGGCATACACTTTATTGTTGTTGCTATTATTTATTTATTTATTTATTAAATTTATATAACTTTCATCTTACTGTCTCACAACTGTGGGTGGCTTACCACTATTGTAAAAGCAAAATACAAATATAACGGGGCTGTGGTGTCTCATGTGGTAAGACGCTGGACCTGAGTACTACTGAGGTTGGCAGCTCAATTCCCATGAGTGAATAAACCACGTAAGGACAAGAAAGGAGCCTCCCCCGATTGCCTATTGGCATTCAGGCATCCTTCGGGTAAAGATAACACTTCCCAAAAATTTTCCTTTCACAGAGGCAGCCAGCCACTTCAGTGATCCCTGGCTGACACATGCCATACGCTTAAAAAACAACAACATTAAAATTTACTGAAATTAAATAATTTAGAAATCAGAATACAATATTGTGGGCATGGACTCTTCTTCCTAGTCCACTAACCACTCCCAGTGTAGAATGCCCCCATTGGGGCTCCAGGCCAATTGGCAAAGCTAGAGTTACCTTGAGGTAAGGTGGGAAACCTATAAATTTTTATAAGTAAACCCATAGGTTTTGAAACGCTTTTGGAAGGCCAAGAGGGTAGGGGCTGATCTCAAATTGAATGCCACAATGTTGCAAAGGGCAGGAACTATGAATTCTTTGATTGACAGGGTCCACAGCATCCCCTTCTGCCAGAACAAATGGGTATGGTTATGCTAGTGGAGTGAAATGGTTCCTCAGGTATGCAAAGTATTTCCACTATGCAAAGTGTTCATTATTAGGGAAATGGGAGCAGCCATTTATACCACCAATAGATGTTAACTAGATTACATTGCCAATCTGTCTTTTATCTGTGCACCTTCTGTAAAGACCCTGCAAGAAAAATTAAAATTATACTGCATATGAATAGGTCAAGGCAAGAAATGGAATTAACATAAAACAATGGTGAACTGCACTCTTAAAATGCAGTAAATCTCATATTTAACCACTGGTATCTGCCTGAAATTCTGCTTAAAATTTCAGAAAGTATAGCAGTTCAAGCTCAACAGTTTGTATTGGAATAAAGGGTCAGTGACTAAATCAGTATGAAAACCTCCAAGGTCCTTCCCAACTCTGTTATTCTGTTTCTATGACCTGGCCCCTTTCCTTCTCCAAACTATTCCTTCTTAAAGAAAGTAGTCCAAGTAGGAGACCCTATATCATTTCAGATAAATGGTTGTCCAGTCTCTTTTTGAAAGCCTTCAGTGATAGAGCACCCAAACCTCTGAAGACAAGCTGTTCCATTTGTCGATTGCTTCTCTCCTTGGTTAGTTTCCATCCATTGTTTCTTGTCTTGTCTTTTGGTGTGTTGAAAAATAGTTTGGCTCCTTTGTCCTCCTCAAATATTGAAACACTGCTATCATGTCTTCCCTAGTCCTTCTTTTCATTAGACTAAACATACCCTATTTCTGTAAATGTTCTTCATAACATTCTTCATGTCAACTTTTCTCTCACAGTTCCTATCCACTCAGATTTATTCCATCATTCTATTGTAAATGTCAAGGCATAGTAAGTGATCTTTAATGTATAAATGTGTATAAACTTAATAAAATTCCCTTAGGAAATTCTGTTTATAGCAATACTTCTGACACATTTTTCCACATTATCTACTTTCAACAGTTAAAAGATGCTTACTTGCATTATGGATTTTTTTTAAAAAAAATACATAGTTTAATCAGTATATTTATTAATCATTTTATCTACATCACTGCACATAGCTATAGACATTTCTGCCTAAAAGGAAACAAAACAATGTACTGTCATTCACATATGTGAATGAGACATTAGCAATCTTATTAAAAATTTAATGGATTTGTTTTTCTTATTGTTATACAAGACTTTGCTTTTTACTCCTTACAATTTGGGCTTATCTTCATAACTGATAACTTGATTACTTAATGACATATAATGCGTCTTAAGAAAAATCCAATACATTCCAAATGTTTATTGTCATTCTTGCTATTAGTATTAGTGTTAGCAATAGCACTTAGACTTATATACCACTCTATAGTGTTGCAGCAGATCCTGTTTCCAAATCAGGACACAAGACCACGAAAGGTTGGAGAATACAGGTTTTTATTTGTGCACAAAGGTTCAGAGCATTAGCATGGCAAATTCTGAACCCCTGGCTCTTCCTGAGGCATCACTTTTATACATTTCATAACCTCAGCCTAGCCCGGGGCGTTTCTTATGTTAAACTATACCAAAAAGGAGAAGTACATATCTGTTATTTTCCAGACCCATTCTTATTCACTGAAACATACTTACTTCCAGTTCCTTAGTTCAGCAATTTCGTGGTTTTGCACAATATTTCTATAAGAAGCAAGGTAAGGGGTCAGAGGATTTCTGGTAAATGCATTCTTGACCTTCCAGGCTGCATCATTAGTGCTTTACAATGTCAGCATATTTCCCCTAATAATCTGCGTCCTTATTTTTCCAACCTTGAAAGAATGGAAAGCTAAGTCAACCTTGAACTTTGTCACGATAGAACTCCAGACTGTGGGCAGAGTTAACCTGCAGTCCTGCATTCTAATCTTTGCATCACCAGTGCACCAGGGATGTTGATATTTACAGCTGGTGCCCTTTAGAAGTACAGAATTATTCCCATGCAAACTTTCTGAGGTTTGGAATGATCAACAGGATTTTTTTTTTTATGGCTGATATGCCCAGCTAATTTCCCATGAGGATTCTAATGCCTCTCTTTAATCTTACAGAACACCCAATGGAAATCAGATTAATGGGACAAGATGGCCAGTCTTCACAACCACTGAACAAAACTACTTAGCATTAAGCATAAATGCTGCAAAGATTCAAACAAAATTGCGGGCTCAGATGTGCCGATTCTGGAACATTCTTTTTCCTAAATTCCTGGAGATGGCAGGTAATTTTGCTGCTAAATATATTTATATTCAGTAAATTGGCTAAGTCTTGCTACTACCGCATTTTAATTTCAATTTTGAGACTTTGTGGGTAAATAAATATTTTTGTAAAATCAAATACAGTGTTTATTCTAAAATATTAACTAAAATAAATCTCCATTATTTTAGATGGGCTCCTGCACCTCCACCCCCCACCCAAATCAATCCTATTTTGTATGCTTGAATTTTTTTGCATACAATGAAGAATATCTTTTAATGGTATGATCTGGATAGTGCTTCTACTAACATATAGCAAATCAATGTTGCTCAAACTCAGTGACTTCAAAATACGTGGAGACCAACTTCCAGAATTTCTCAGCCAGTGTGCTCCAGTTCTAACATTCTGGGAGTTGGAACCCAAACATTTTAAAATCACCAAGGTTGAGAAATACTGCAGGAATTAATGGAAATGTTTGGTCAACAATTTATAGATGGCTGAATATTTCCTACCACAATTTGCATTGAAAAATGAAAGATGGTTGCTTTTCTAGAAATTTAAAGTCATGGATGGAGGTGATCACTAGAATCAAGATCCCATATTTGTTTATTTGTTTGTTTATTTATTTATTTATTTATAAAATGCATTGACTGCCCATCTTACCATAGGGTAACTCTGGGAGGATTACAGTTACATATGCAGTTAAAGCATAAAAAGTTAAAATCAGACATTAAAGCCAAGGACACATGGGTAGGGCTGGAGTGGAGTGTGGGGATGTAAGATCTGTTATTACTCAACCAACCACCTCCATTGCACTGTTCCCCCACTGGGTCCCCAAGCCAACTGGCAAAGCCATGTCTTTAGGCTCTTACAAAAAGATAGGAGAGTTGGGGCTAAGCTCACATGGGGGGGGGGAGATTTTCTAGAGGGCAGGAGAATAGCAGAGAAAACCTTCCTCCTGGACTTGCCACATGCCTCTTCTGCCAGCACAAGTGGTATGGACCAATCCCAGTCGGGGTGAGACGGTCCTTCATATAACCAGGATTCATGCCAGATTCCATATGTAGACCACCGTATCACTTAATTGCTATGGATACTCTTTCATAACACAGAATTGTAAATATTACTGTTTTGGAGGGCAGACTTTTTTTTCTGTAGAGTTCTAATGATGTTATCTGAATTCAAGCTGAAACTTAGAATTCCATACCATTGTTTAAGGTCTCCAAGTACGGGGAATGTCAAGAGAAATAGATAGGCTGAAAGAATGGGCTGTGTTTTACATAGAAATTACTGTTGTTATGATAAAGCATTAAGGCTTCAGAACTATGATGTAGTAGTATGAAAAAAAAAATCAAAGCAAGCAACTATGCTCAGGTAAAGATTATAACAATAATATAAAAATAGCAGCAGCACAAAAGAGAATAAGATGATGGAATGGATTTAGTTATAATTAGACACGCCGAAAATAATGAGGATCCATGTTAGATAAGGTTTCTTAAGTTCCAGTGATTTTATTTGGTCTACCTTTAGCATAATTAGATCTAAATTTGACCCATTATTTCTAAAATCACATTTGTACAAGCACTGTGCAAAGCCTCAAATCTCTTTAAAGCTGCTTCTCAAAGCAATATAGTTTAATAAAATTGTATGAACCAATGACTGAGATAGAATACTAAAAATAGTTCAAGAGCACCTTGAAGAGTGGTAGTCATGTACATGGTGATTTCAGTAGAATTCTCATTCCTCCTATTTATTTCTTTTAAAAAAAATCTCAGTGGAAAGCAATATCTCGTGTTTAGGCCATTTAATCTGTCAAGAGCATGATAACACCATAGTACTATTCGTTTCAGACTGTAACTTATACAAAATATCCCTAGCTATACTTCCATTAAAATTAGAGAATTGTTCTTGCATTATTTAATTACCATGTTGCCCAAGGTATGTGTGAATGTCCTGCCTAAATTGGAAAAAAATATTCTTTCAATAATTCAAATGATAGGATAGGATAGGGTAGGATAGGATAGGATAGGATAGGAGAGGAGAGGAGAGGAGAGGATAGGCAGGAGAGGACAGAACAGAACAGAACAGAACAGAATAGTTTATTGGCCAAATGTGATTGGACACACAAGGAGTTTGTCTCTAGTGCATAAGCTCTCAGTGTAAATACAAATAACAAATTAATATAATGATAACATGCCAATAGAAGAAGTATGAGAAAAGATGAGAAGGATACTACATGGGTAAATATCTTTAGACATAAAACAGTACTGTGGTAATTAGGTGTTGGCATAATTAGAGTGATGGCATAAGGGGAAAAAAAGATTGTCTCTGTGTCTGATGTTTGCCCTATAGTGGCATCCTAAGGGGAGAAATTGCAATAGTTTATGTCCAAGATGTAAGGATATGATATGTCCATAAGATGCATAAGATGAGACCAAATGAAAACCAGTAAAATATAAAGCCATTTCACAAAGGATGTATCATGCCCTTATGTCATACAATTAAATAAACATGTCCCTTGTGTGATGACGTCACTGAGATTTCTGGATACAGCTACTTTCCTTGAAAAATCATTGGATAATTTCTCCCTCCTTGTTATTAACATATCTATCAATTTAGTAGATTAAAAATTAAAAAGAAAAGCAGTATGTGTTGAGCTCTAGCCATTTCTTAGTGTATCCTACCTAATTCTGAACAGCTGGGTATATAAATCTTTCTTATTTTGCTGATCTATTATAATATCCAAAATCATGTTGCTATGTTTTAAATACTCTTCCTCAATTGGTATTATGGATAATTGATTATGTCAAGAAAATAAATTTATGAAGATTTATTGCATCTCTTAACTGGAAGTCTGCATCTGGATCCTAGCCATCAAACAGTAAATTGTAAGCTCCTTGTTAAATGTCATTTGTGGGTATGAAGGTTGAAAATGCAAATGATGTGGCATATTGGGCCAGAAGAATAATTCTTCATTTTAACTGATTACGTTATAATCCAGAGTTAAAACTTTGCCCTTTGGATTTGCAATAAATCAGGTGACAAAAAGGAGGGCAAAATGGTATGTGGTGTATTTAGGGAAAAACGGCATTGGTAATCAGGATTATTTTTCAATTAATGTACAAAGAGATTTAAATTTAGATTAATGCCACCCATTTCATGTTTTACAGAAAATATTGATGAAGCAGAACAAGAGTGGAAAGCAGGATTCCTTCGCTGGAACAATTACATGATGGACTGGAAAAATCAATTTAATGATTACACTAGTAAGAGGGAAAGCTGCACAGGTCTCTAATTAAAAGTTTCAGCCTTTCTGGAATGCTTGTACTGTCAAAGATCAAGGCAAACATGGAGATAGTTAATGTAGCATATCTAGCAATAAGGCATATTAGGCAGGCTCAGTGACCCATTACAAATATACCATTCTTCCAGGCCCATTTCTATTTATATCAATATCTGTTACGAAAGCACTTCCACCTTTTGAAGCATCAGGAAATGTAAAATAGACTTAAAGCAATTAAAGCCAGAGGATGATTGATGTTGATATAATGGCCCCTGTCCAATAGTAAATTTTATACTCTTTATTAAAAAAAAATCAAACAGGTTGTGCTAGCTATGAGCAGTGATATTTTTATATATTGGAATATGCAATTCACTTAAGAAGAAGCTTCAAAGGCTAAATCTCCTTTGGCCATTTGGCAAATGGAATTGTGTACCTTCCAGGAATGTGCATTTTATTCTATATTCATGTTGATCAGAAATATCTGAAAATAGGCTTTGACTGAAGGTAGTAAGAATGAGGTCAAGACACAGAGAATGGTGAACTATGAAACCAGATATAATCTCTTTACAAACTTTTGCTTCAACTCAGAAAGATAAGTAGAGGAAGAGGAATATGATCCATTATTCCACCATAAGCAGCCAAATGCTTGCCAAAAAAAGAGAGCTTCATTTGACAGCTTCCACAGTCTTTCACTAATGGAAGCTGACACCTGAAACATATAAACATATTGAGTTTCATATCGCTAGACTTTAGGTCTAAATTCAAACGTGTAGCTGAATGTACTTATGCTGCAATAGAAGCACAGAGAAGCACAGAGCCGAAGACACAAGCCTGAAGATGATGAATGAGACTTCATCGAAACGTTGCCTAGATACTTCCAATTTTACATGGGAGAAAACCCAAATAACCAAAGATATATATGTGTGTGTGTGTGTGTGTGTGTATAACTGTCAATTCTCATTTTAGAATCAATTTGACATGCAAAACTGAATAGGATGCTTTTGAAACAATTCAGTGATTTAAGCCATGCTTGAATATTCACAAAGCCACTTTTTTTCCTGAATTGGATTCATGACCTATATCAAATAGATATGATTAGATCATTCACATCTCTGAAGGGTGACTACAAATGTATTTTTCAACACAAACTTAACTTCTAGTGATTTCATGGACGTGTCCAAGAAGCTTCCTTGACAATAGAATAAAAGTTGCTTGTTATTGACTTCTTCAGGTTACTTTTCAGCTTCCCAGTTTAGCTTATGCTGCAAGTACTTTTACGGTCTCTGATCCAAATACTAACCTGGCTCAATTCGGTTTAGCTTCTAATCCAAATCAAGGTCAGCCAGGTGCTGCCATGCTGCCAGGACTTTTTTTTGTTTTTTGTTTTTTTTTGGGGGGAGGGGGGGGCTTCTTTGCTGGCTTTAGTAATTTGTCATAAGAATAATTTAGAAAATTACAGGTAGTCCTCAGTTTATTTAGTGACCATTCAAAGTTACAACACTGAAAAAAGTGACTTATAACTATTTTTCATACTTATGACCCTTGCAGCATCTGCATGGTCATATGATCAAAATTCAGATGCTTGGCAATTGACTCATACTTATGAGGGTCGCAGTGTCCCAGGGTCATTTGATCCCCTTTTGCGATCTTCTGACAAGCAAAGTCAATGGGGAAGTCAGATTCACTTAACACCCATGTTACTAACTTAACAATTGCAGTGATTCACTTAAAAAAAGTGGCAACAAAAGTTGTAAAATGGGGCAAAGCTCATTTAACAGATTTGCCACTTAGCAATAGAAATTTTGGGCTCAATTCTGGTCATAAGTCGAGGACTACCAGGATATTATGTCTCCTAGAATATTGACAAGTGCTTTTAATCAGAGTGAATACAATTATTTTTATATTTTGCAAGCTAAAACTTTGATGATAAAGGATAAATGATATATACAATTACTCAATGCAACAAGCTATATGTCAGCATTCCATTGGTTGTAAATTTTTATACAACTATTGCAAGAAATTATTTCCACTGTATGATTTATAAATTGAAAGGATGTTGTAGTGCACTGACAATAGTTTCTTTTGCACTGGCTTCTTCTCTATAGGTTCTAAATTGTCCCTCATTTCTAAAACTCTTTTTTTTCTTATTCTCAAGTATTAAGTCTATTAATGGTAATAAAAGATATTCTAATCATTCTCAGATGGTGATCTTTATTCCAAGCAGATTCTTGAGCTAAGTTCTGATGAATCCTCAACGCATCTATTTCTTTATATGGTCTATAACAGAGACAGCTTGGAAGGGGTGATGATGGTCATAGATATACTTTTCGTTTTGCTGAAAGAGTCATAGTTGATGAAGCTGTGATATTATAACAATGTCATTCTTGTCCAACATTGTCAGCTCATATTCATCTTATTTTTGTTTAGTGTGGTGTGTCAAGTCTATGAGAGTTTAACATGGTATTTTCGTTTATTTCCTGTTGAAAATTGTCAGGAAATTATGCTGTCATTGTTTGGTTTCACAAGCTGAATGGACGTTAGGGGTTCTACATGATACGAAAAACATAACATGGCTGCCCATTTCCATACCTGCTTTCTAGGTGAGACTTCAGTTTTGAACCACTTTGAATAATATAAATTCACAACTCAAACAAGAAATCGATCAGATTATGCTCATCTAAAACTGGATATTAGTGGAAGTTTTCAAAACACAGCAAAAATGAAAACATTTTTAAAAAGAAAACATTTTTAAAATATTATACAAATCCCAGAAATGATACAGAAGGAATCTTGACAAAAGGTGGCTAATACCATTTTCTTAATCATTAAGAAATAAAATTATATTGATCATTAAATATATTGTCCTTTCATTGATGTTTTCCACCGTATTACAGATAGTCTTCGACTTACAACATTTCATTTAGTGAACGTTTGAAGTCACAAGGGCACTGAAAAAAGTTACTTATGACCATTCTTCACACATATAACCATTGTAGCATCCCCATGGTGACATGACAAAATTCAGATGCTTGACAAATAACACATAGCTATGACAGTTGCAAGAAAAGTTGTAAAGTGGGGAAAAGCTCACTGCTAAGCAAAGCAATAGTCTTGCTTAGCAACAGAAATTTTGGGCTCGATTGTGGTTGTAAGTTGAGGACTATCTGTATTGCAAAAAATATAATAAGCTTTTATCATTACAGATTAATTTATGAAGGGTGCTTCATTCCAATTTCCAAGTTGAGCTAAAAAAAAATCCTGGGTAAGGGACCTACAGCCAATTTGTAGCCTTGTTCATGTTATACATAGATATGACCAATCACATTGTTTTTGCCATGGTTGTTCACATTGTGCCCAACTCTATGCTTAGCTAATATTGTACTGTGTCATATGAAATAAGAAAAATGAATAAATGCTTCAGTTATGATATCAAGGCACAAATCTAAACAACTACTAGATAGTACCATTTCTTTTTGCATTCCTTGGCTATCATCTAAACTTTTGCAATGCAGATCTGGTAGCCCTGATTAATAATGGGTATGTCAGGTTATGGCAGAAATGGGTTAGAAATTACCAGTAATAAAATACATAGTTTTTCATTTTTAAATAGAGATCTATGTTGTACCTAATGTGACTTCCCTCAGTCTCAGAAAGAGAGTCAGCACCATTAAGGTTTGAATGGAAGTCTTTCAGCACTAGTGACTCCCATATAAACCTATATATACAGAATAATAGAGTTATTAACAGAGTTGGAAGGGACTTTGGAGGTCTTCTAGTCCAACTCCCTGCTCAAGCAGGAGACTTATAGAAATGTCTTCAAAGAAAAACCAGAAAATCCAAGTTGCTGCTTGAAAAAGCACATTTGGGACAACCATGACCTGAATGACTGAAAATCTCCATAGACATTCAGGAGGCTTATACCATGTTAGATAAATGTCTCTTCAATAGCTTTGTTAAAAACTCCAGTGATAGAGCACCCACAACTTTTGGAAGCAAACCTTTCCATTAATTAATTGTTCTCACTAACAGGACATTTCTCCTTAATTCTAGGTTGAATCTCTATTTGATAAACTTCCATCCATTTTCATTTACTTCTTGTCCTGCCTTCAGATGCTTTGGGGAATAGGTTGACCTCCTTCTTGCTTATGATAACCCCTGAAGCACTGGAAGACAGCTATCATGTCACTTCTAGTCCTTCTTGCTTATAGACTAGACAAACTTAGTTCTCTTAACTGCTCATCATCCAATTTAGCCTCCAGATCCCTTATTATCTTTGTTGCTCTTCTGTGCACTCTTTCTAGGGCCTCAGTATCTTTTTTTGTATTGTGGTGGCTACAACAGGTGTAGAATTCTTACCAGTACAGTATAATGCATACTAGTACTTTGTGTGATATTTTTCATTTTTACAGAGCATGTGGCAATTCTGACTGTATATTTAGAGATGACTTTTAAGTCTTATTGTGTACTCATCTAATTAAATCTCTTTCCTGTGTTCAGGATAAAACATGAGTTTGAGTGCTGGCTTTCAATATCTAAGCATTTTTACAATGCTTTTGGTGGGCAGATTCCTTCAGTTAGATAATCTAAATACCCTGTGGACTTTTATTTCACTCTTCCCCTGAAACTAAAAGAGATGAAATATTTCTTTTAAGTATGGTGCTGTCCAAAGGGTGTGTTAAAAATAGATATCACAAACGTATTCACTATAGATACAGAAAAACAAATCATTCTAATAAAATTCAATGTGAACTTACTCAACTAAAACATTGATGTGTAATCAGTCTAGAATTGGGAAATGATGTTCTTAAAAAGAGAGGTAAAATCTTTTGTTTATTTGTAGTATGATTCTATTTGGTTTATCTTTACATAGAAATGTAAAAAGTCTTAGTTTTAAATAGTTGATAGGAAATCAAGGTAAAAGAAAGAAAACATAAGTAGAGGTCAAATAAAATTCTTTTAATAGATAAAGATTATAGTTTGTCATGGTAGTTTAATAGGGATACATAATATAAAAAAAGATGCTGAGACTTTGGAAAAAGTGCAGAGAAGAGTGACAAAGATGATTGGAGGGTCTGAAGGCTAAAACATAGAATGGTTGCAGGAACTGGATTTGTCTAGTCTACTGAAAAGAAGGACTAGAGGTGACATTATAGCAATGTTCTGATTTTTGTGAGAAGAAGAAGAAGGCCACAAAGAAGAAGGAGTTAACCTATTTTTCAAAGCATCAGAAAGCAAGACAAGAAGCAATGGATCCTGCATTGGAAAACAGAAAGAAGCAACCTAGAACTGAAGAGAAATTTCCCGACAGTAAAAACAATCAACCAGTGGAACAGTTTGCCTACAGAAGTTGTGGGTGCTCCAACACTAGAGGCTTTTAAGAAGAGACTAGACAGCTATTTGTCTGGAATGGAATAGTGCCTCCTGCTTGAGCGGAGGGGTTGGACTAGAAACCTCCAAGGTCCCTTCAAATTCTGTTATTCTGTTAAAATTCTCTATTTGGGGCATTACCTTTTTGGCAAGTGAAAAATCTTTTGGATTGTTTCCATACTGTAATAAAAATGACACCATAACCTTAACATTTAGGAGGTATGACTTTTTTGGCCAGGCTTTTAATTGCTAATTAATATTAGCATTAACTTTAGAATTAATTTAAATTTATATCTTTAACTTCTTAATTGTCTTTTAAAAATGTGTGAGACAACATTTGTGCTAGAATAAAAATGTGCAAGGTATGTAAAACAATAATAAAAATAATCTGCAGCAGGTACATCTTGGTACCAAGTTCACATAGCTGGGCAAGAGCAAAGGAACAACATTTACACAGATTTCATAAAGATTGTCAATGCCAATCTTGGGATAAACGAAGAATAATTTCTAAATGTCATATATAATGAGCTTATTCAGATGGAGTCTGAATTGTTTGAAAAGCTTCTTTTTAATTTTTTGCTTTAGTTTCTTGCCACCTGGGCTGCTATTTTATAAGTGAAGCTATTAATTGACTCATTTGTGGCTTGTGTGATGACTATGTAGTTAATAATGTTTAGGCTCCCTTCCATTATTTTCTAAGTCTCTCCACAATCTCTCTCAGATGGCTTCTAATTCAGTAAGAGACATATAACCATAAAATTCAAAGGGAGCAGGTAGACCATTATGTCTATCAATCTGTCTAAGTACAGAAATCTAAATTAAAGCTCCCCACCACTGCTCTGTTAATTGCTCTTTATGGAATTGGATCACATTATAGTGGTCCAATTTTTATTTTTTTCTTGGAATCAGGGTTGCTTGGTGGTTCAGTGTTTGATATGCTAAGCTTGACAGCTGGAAAGCCAGCAGCCCATATTCGTTATATGAGTGCCATGCAACGAGGTCAACTCCTATCCTTACCCCATCTCCTGCTTACCTAGCAGTTTGAAATGCAAATCTCCTTGGAATGGAGATAAATAGGTGCTGCAAGGAGCAAGGTGCTTGCTGCAAGGTGCTTGCTGCAAGGAGATGAATAGGTACCAATCTGGTAGGAAGTTAATAGCACTCCA